TCCTTATTAGGCACAAAGATGGGACAGACAAGTCCACTTCGATCCGAACTCTTACGAACCAATTCTTCTGGCGGAGGACTGAGCCATGCAAGGAATCCCGACAGATCCATTGGTGCTGTGCTTGAGTCGTGACTTGGATCAACTGCATCTGGCATCTCGATGTCGGCTGGATCCGGTGGTTCAGTGGGACTGTACTCCGTGTCATGATCTTGTTCCGACTCAAATATACAGGTGCATCGCCTCGCTTCGGATCACTAGGCTTTTCAGATGCATCGCCTGGAGCATGCATCGGTGGCTTCTTTTCGGAATACCGCATGCGACCGGTTGGATGTGATGGATCAAGACTCTGATGGTCTATGGGCTTGACTGGAGCCCTTGACTCTGATGACTGACCCTCAACCTTATCAACCACTTTCGGGACTGACTCAGACAACGCATTGCGCTGACTCTGCATGCACCCACTCTCTATATCTCCGGCAGCAAGTGGCTGTGTGCTTTTTGGCATGTCGACTCGATGAGTTGCAAGCACTGCAGTTTGGAGTCCCCCCATGCTCCCTCACCCATTCCCTTGGTGGCCCGTGATTGGGCAGTGCATCCTCAACCCCAATCTTGTCATCGAGCGGCTCCGGCGGTCGGGACTGCTTGGGCATTGATGATCCATCATCTTTCGCAATGCCTTTGAGAATGGATGGAGCGAGGTCGGGGTCCCATTAATCCTACTTGATATCGCGTGTGCCAAACTGTTTGGCTTCACATGCAAATATGCTGCTGGAATGAAGCGAGTTCTTTCGGGGATGCTTTCAATCAATGAATCTGGTACTCGTGCATGGCACACACTCCCAAACATTGTGGAGGTTGGCTTCGGACGGTCCTTGCCTACAATTAACTCGATGGGCGATCTCTTACTCTCAAGTCCTGCTGATTGGCCTATCGAACCTCCCACACCGAAGTGGTTTTGGGTTTGTGTGACATATTGCGTGATTCGATTGAAGCTCTCTGGGCTACCGGTCAAGTCGAATCCATGGAGACGCAAATCACTCCTGATACAGGCCGTCATTTCCTTGACCCTGCGAACGTTGCGCTCGGCTAAACCAATACTCTCGTGAGACTGGGGTGCGGCAGCTTTCACCTGAAGTGGTAGACTCAATCGCCTCAACAGGGCTCCAATCAAGGGCTCACTATCGGTCAACACTTCGACAGTCTGGGATGAGTGTTCTGAGATTCCGAGTTGCCGAAAATACTGTCGACATTCAGACACGATGTGGTCTTGATTGGGACCACATAGACTGACTCCAAGCAATCCTGTTCCGGCATCAACCAAAATGATGAATTTGTTCCCTTCCAAAAAGAAGAAATCTGCTTGGATCAAGAGCATTTGATGGTCAACAGGTGTGCTGTTTACACGACCATGGTGCAACGTGGATCTACTTTTAACACAATGAGTGCAACGCCCGTCAAATGGAATGTGACCTCGACGGCGGTGCAGCGACAACTCACGATCCACCTTCTTTGAAAATCCGGAATACCCAGCGACCTCACCCAATGAGCAAGGCTCTTTGGACACGTTGGATGGACTTGCATCCTGATCAAGTTCACCTGGAGCGGGAAGAGGCTGGTCGATGGCCGAGACGAATTCGATCTTTCGGTATGTGGTATGTCGATTGGGCTCATTTCGTTTCGAATCCGATTCAACTTCGTACATTTGAATCTCAGGTTGGTCATCGAACTTCAGCATCTTGGCGTGGTTGGATGGACTTCCACGACTCAGTGAACCTTTTGCCGATGTCTTGACCCCAAAGAACGAAATCCGGAGTACTTTCACTGGCCTTGGATGGGGACTGGGCATCGGAACTCTCATCTTTAGATGTCTCACTCGGTGGCTTCTTGCAGAACCATGAAACCAAATCAGACTTCATTTCATTCTCGGAGGTGTCAATGGTCCAAGGGTCCAAATTTCGAGTCATGTCAACATCCTGGTCCTTCCCACGGTGCTTGCGAACATGGGCACGAATCCAGGGCACACTGCTCCAAATCTCACAATCCAATCTCCTGATGTCGCCGACACGGATATGGCACTGGTCAGGACCAAAAACAAACGTCGCTCCAAGACGTGTCAGCCCAGACACACTCAAGAGATTATGCTCAACAGGTCCTACAACTGCTCTGATTTCATACCTTACCAACTTGGTTCGATCATGATCGTCATGTTCAATGACAGTGGGGAAGCTGACTTCTAGCATACACTCATGATCGACCTGGACCTGTTCACCTGAAGCAGTACGAAATGAGATGGGGCTGGCAAGTTTTCGTTCACGCAACACTCGATAGGCCGAAAGGGAATCGATCGACACAATGGTCCGGCTAGCGCTGGAGTCAACAAGCCAAAGGAATGGGTCAGTGCTATCAACATTCTGGCAAATGAAGAATGGACGAGCGATGCTTTCAATAGGCAACAGGGGTGACAGGCGACCGCCACTCTCAATCTCTGGCTCTGACCATTCGCTCCCGACTTCGGATTCCGGTTGCTGTTCATGGAATTCTGTCGCCCTCTGTCCCTTCGGCTTGCCTCCCTTTCCATACTTGCCACCTTTCTTTCCCTTTTCGTCCCCTTTGTCATGTTTGCCCTTGCCTTTCTTGTCACCTGTGGGATGATCATCAACCTTGGCCTTTCCTCCTTTCTTCAATGGGCAATCACTCGCTAAATGACCTCTTTGATTGCAACTAAAACACGTTCTCGTTTCGGATGTTCCTCCAACTCCTTTCCCTTTATCTCGGTTCTCGAATCCCTTTGCACCCTTTTCTCCCTTCTTGTCTTTTCCTTTTCCCCCTTTCTTACCCTTATCCCCTTTGATGGCTGCAATAGGTTGGCTGTTGAGATCAGACCAAATCCGTTGTTGAGACTCATATCGAAGTGCAGCCTGGAGATAAGTATCGAATCGCTCGTCGGAAGAATGAAGGACAATCCATTGGCGGCATTGAGCTGGAAGTGAGCGAAGTAACAAAAGTACCTTATCAGCTTCTTGGAATTCAAGTCCTTGCGTGTTCACATTTGGGTCAACCAACTGTGACACTCTTTCAAATTGGTACAGCTCGGATTGAACCTTCCTCACACATTCGGGGATTGTCTTGGAGGTGATGGATGCATTGGACAACTGTGACCGAAAGAAAAGAAGCTCTGTTCTAGTCTTGATTGCATACTCTTTGGCCAAAAGTCGAAGGCATTCGAATCCACAGCAGCGCTGAAACCCCTTTGCTTCTTCATAGTTTCTGATGACTAGAGACGCTTTGGCACTGTTTTCGAAGCAAAGCTTGAGAATGGACATGAGCCTGACTGATCTTGTCACCTGTGCGGATGTCAAGCGATGCCAACCAAGTGGCTTGCGTTCTTTCAGGGCGGCCATGATTTCAGTGGGGTATGCGTTGGAGCCTAACCCTGTCCAAGACGCCAAACTCGTGACCCATTCAATAAAGCCTACGATCTCCGTTGGACGCGTCTTCCAGTCCTGGAGAGCTGGGGTTGGCACCGGTGGCATCCACTTCTCCGATCGTCTAAAGGGATTATCATCTTTCTGTTCTCCCTGATCATGTGCAGAACCTTGGGGAGTGTTCACTTGAATCGGCTGCACTGGCGAAAACCCGGGAGGTGGAGGGATAACCGTGCCTAATCCCTGCTGTGCAAACGGATGCTGTTGATCTGGACTATTTGCCAAACTGTGCGGAAACGGTTGATCCGGAACCCCAGCGGCTTGCGACGAGCTCTGATAGAACTGTCGCCATGGATCGTTCGCCATCAAAGGATCTTGCATTCCTGATCCACTCGAGATGCCTTGGTTAGGCTGAGAAGGCCATGGGTTCATGGGATGATTCGGAATATCTATATTGGGATGGTTGGTCTGCGCAAAAGTGCTATCGGCGCCGGCTGGAAACGGCGGGACGTTCACGGGAACTGCATTCGGTGCAGTGGGAGTACCGACAACATTTGGCGTGATCGGCGCCTGTGTTTGAGGAATTTGGAATTGATTCGAACTAGCTGGCGGCTGCACGGACAAAAGCTGCTCAAGCAACGGTCCACGTCCGCTCAAGGTACTTGCTAGATGACTTACCTGGTTCTCCAAATTCGAGAGTCTCTGCTGACTTGAACTCCCACCGCCCGGACGAGTCTCTGGAGCACGACGAGTTTCGGAGCGGCCCCTGGATCTCTCGCGGGCAGGTCGATCAGCATTGCCAGAATCCGCCATGGCTCAAAGATCACTAAGTGAAAGTGGCCAAGGTGTTCTAGAGTGAACTGCAACACTGTTGACCTATGCTCCCTTTACAGGAGCTCCGCTACCATATGAAACTTCAAACCAAGTTGAACAAGTTGTCAAACCCCAAGAAAAACAAAATGCAAAACTTGGTACACTTCTCGAACCCTCGTCGGTGTCGGCACGCGACGTCTTCTCACCGCCCAGCTTCCCGGGCGCGACACTTTTGTCGCGCTTGAGCCATGCCACGATGGCATGTCGAAGTCTCGAATGCGTGTCATCCCTTGTGCAGGGGTCCATGCTCCTCTCTGGTTGGGATGTGGTACACACTCGATTTGTGCACTCGGGGCACATGACGAGTCGGCCAAAAGTGGATTCGTGAATCCACAGCCTGCGGACAAAAGTGCACCAGGCGTCAAGGTGGAGGCCGCCAACACGGGTTGGCTGCCCAGGCGGGTAGGCTTAGGAAACTACCACAGTAACAAGGCAATAACCGGTGCATTTCAAGCGAATATGCCTTGTATGTGTCTATAGATACACGAGCAAATGCAAGAACCCTTTTGGTTGTCAAGAGGTCCATTCAGGTGTCAACTATTCACAGGTGGTGGTGGTGGTGGTAGTAGTGGTAGTGGTGGTGGTGGTGGTAGTAGTAGTAGTAGTAGTAGAAGCAGCAACTCCCCCCCACCCACTATGGTTGCAGTCACGCACAATTTCTTGGTTGGAATGATGTGTTTTCTGATTGTCAGCCTCGTTTAGGCGAGCGAGAAAACGGATCCAGGCACCGTGTGGAGCTGGTTGAAATGTGAAACCATCGTTTGCATCACTTTGACTATTGATGCTTCTTGTCATTGGACATTTTTGTGTTGTTGATTGTACACTACCCTTGAGGGTAGGCGGCAAGAATTTTTGTGTATCGCCATCATGGCAAAGGAATTCCGAGGCAATGCCTTCGGAAACAGGGCTATAGCACTTCATTGCTGGGCATTTGATCCCAATGTCATCCCATGTCTCCATCAAACATCGATATTCAAAGGCCAAGTGCTAGCAACATTATTCCTGTCATCCACTGGAATCATTGTCATGGAGGTTCGTGGGGTACTGGCCAAGTCTTCATTCTTTATCGCAGATCGCTTGCGAGGCGCTGCGCAGCTGAGTCCTCAGCGCCAAGAGACCGGTATTCCAATTTGCTGGTTGTGATGAATGTGATGAGCCAAGGCTAGCTGGGCCTTTGGCATCCAATGTGAATGACGGAGGCTTTGAGAAGCAAAGGAGTCGCAGGAAGTGGTCAGTCCTGCCGCATTGCCTCGTGAGGCTGTTCGTCCGACACAAGCCCCGCTTGAACCTCGGCACCTCATTGTCACTCCAAAGATGTTTTCAGCCTGATGTATTTTTTTAAATGCTTTTGGACCAGGCAACAGAACTTCAAGCCAAAGTCAGCGTCTGAGAGGTATCGGTTCAGCCTTGTCAGTTCTTGTTCTTGTTTGCCTTGCAACCTGGGCGGTTCTCCTGCAAGACCTTCTATAGATGTTTAGAAATTCTGGTGATGCGATGGCCAATAGCTGTTTGATTATTGATGTGTTGCAAGACATCTGCAGTTCTGATACTATTGAGTTGTTTGAAGGAAGCTAACTGTCTACTTGGGCTGATGCATTTAAGCTCATTCTTTTTGATTGATCCGGATTGGACAGAAACTTATATTATATATATCGAAACATACTCACTCACCTAGGATCTACCCTTTCAGTATTGGGCATGTTTGCTCGGTGTGATCACATGCACAGTCATTTTCGTTCCGGTACCTCACTGTGGTTGCTTGAGAGAAGTCTAAACAAATCAATTCTTGACCGTACAATCTACACATATTTCAAATTAGCTACACTTTAGACTCCGACACAAATGTTGCTAAGACCTATAGTGTATCAGAATGTTAAATTGCGTTCATCCGTTCGCCAAGTAGCTCTTATATAAGTAGCACTGTATGTACGAGACAAACTTAGTGTGCTCACATGAAAGACTCTCAGCAAGTGGTGATCTTACTTATAACTCCCGAAGAAAACATGGCAACATATGGCAACTGGCAACCTTATTTGCAAGAATACACGTTCAGGACTCTTTGGCAATGCGACAGTTGTTTTAATTTTCGAGCTTTCCATGCAAAAAGGCTCGGAGCGGCGGGACATGGACAAACCTGACCAGATCCAGATTTCATCGAAATTAACTATTCTACGGTTGTCTCGAAAGTGGAGCTGGCCATGTGGGTGGTTTACTTAAGTACTGAAAAGAACACGTTGGAATGCTTTGATGTTGCTGTGTAGTGTAAATAGCTTGAAACATTGTTCAGCAAGGTTCCACGAACTGCGCAGAGCGAAGCATGTCCGACTGTGCCTGCGGCTCATGAACAAATTATGTTTGTCATCAAATCTGAAGAAAGGTTTGAGGAAGATGCAGTCAGTGTGGTTTTGAGGACCAGGCAGCCTCCACCTCCACCTCTTGCTCGACGGCGATCTGTGGTCCCACACTCAGATTTCACAGTTGAGCTGTGTGCCATCAAACAGTTATACATCAAACTCATTGATTCTATGGCAACAAGAGCAACACTAGGAGACTTGGGCTTCGGGCTCCAAACCACACTTTATCATGGAATGTAGCTGCTACAGGGCAGGCCGCTTGTTGACAACTCTGCTTTGCAATGTAAATGTATAAACAATGTACAAACCATAACCTTGAGAAGACTCTCAAACTGTGGACTCGTTCATGATGTCCCTCACCAAAGGATCTTACTAAGCAGTTAAAAGGATCCGTGCCAGGGGTCGGCTACGACAAGCGTTGATCACGGCTCTTTTCCGACTTTGGCTTCTTTAATCCAAGCACTAAGAAAAGCATAGAAATGCTAAGTTTATCATAGTTTACGGTATCTATGTTTGTGTTTTCCTGTTGTTTCTTCCCCATGTTTGCCGTGTTATTGTAATGTTCCTTGTGAACTAAGTGTTCGACAATTTGTTGAGTTGAGTGAAACTTTCAGCCCCAGTCTCCCTCGTTCAGCTTCTGCAGTCCTATACATGACATAGACATATTTATATGCAATATATATCGCTGCATTGCCGTTTGGACTGCATGCCTGGGGCCCTGCCTGCTTTCCTGCAATGTGCCCTGCTGCATCCTGCCTGGTTCCTTATTTCTTTGTTTGCATTGACCGATCATGTTTCTTTCTTATTTAGCTACCCGAGTTTTTGTCCAGCATAAGTGTGGAATAGTTCTTCCAAGCACCGGCCTCCAAAACAATAGCAGGGGCCAACGGATTCTTAAGGTTGCCTTTTTGTTCTTCCTTGATTGATTGCCTTGTATAGCGAATTGCCACCTGTGGCAGCATCGTCCCTAGGAGATTCACGGCCATTTACCACACTGGAAGTACATAGCAGCAGATGGAGAGGCGGCTTTGCTGGTATAAAGCAAATGCTTGGGGCCCTGCGGAAAGGAAGAGAGAAAGGTCCTCGAAGTCCAAAGAAAGTACATATAAGAACGATTAGACAGCTGCTTCAAAACAACACAGCTGCTCCTATGTATAATTACACCCGGTGTGCCGGGTTGATTTGTATTGAGAGAGAGGATCAATAGGGAGTGAAGTTCCAATTACATAATGCAACATGGAAGGAAATGAGAGGAAATGCATGCAAAATGAAAGGAAATGTCTACAGGGAAAGAGCCTTCATCATAATGTGATGTTACATGTTCAGTAAAAAAATGCGACCGCTTGGGAGGGTACTCGCATGACCGGTTCGAGCACTTCGCCTTTTCAACGAAATTAATAGGAGCGCCGGAGGTCACCGCAATGTTTTGGAGGTTATGTCTTAGAATAATCCCCTAGTAGCTTCTTGTTCCTAGTAGTACGGCCAGGAGCCCCTAGTAGCGTCCTTGCTCCTAGTAGCGATGCCAGGAGCCCCTAGTAGCTTCTTGTTCGGGCCATTTTCTTTGGGATTTGCCCTTCTTTGGAAATGGTGCCCGCGGCGGGCGCCGTGAGCGCCGTGTACGAAACTGTGAAATTGTGTTTTTCTAGGGTGAATGCAAAACGGAAGGAAATGAAAGGAAATGAATGCAAAATGCAAGGCAATGAATGCGAAATGAAAGGACATGTCTACAGGGATTGAGCCTTCAGCATGTATTGTTACATTTTCAGGAATTGGCAACAAAATGACCGGTTTGAGCAGATCACCTTTTTGAAGGAAATGAAAAGGAAAGGAATGCAACATGAAAGGAAATGCAAAAAATCCAAAATGAAAGAAAAGAATATGAAAGGAACATGAAAGCAAATGCATGCAACATGAGAGGAAAATCGAAGGAAATGAATGCAACATGAATAGACAATGAAAGGACATGTCTAAAGGGAACGAGCCAGCATTTAACCTTGCATGTTCAGTAAATGAGCTAGAAAACCCAGAAAATGTAGCTTAGCTAAATTTGCCAGAACTTGGGGGGGACCTCTCAGGCGATCCAATTACTTGGAATAGCTTGACAACATTTGTTTGCAACTTGTTATGTATGCTTGACGGTTTCGTTGTTAGGTGACATACTATGTGTGTATATATAAACATTGTATTTATATATATATATGTTATATCTACATACGTGTACATGCTTTTACCGATGACGTCGGTGGGAAGTTTGTGGAGTGGATGGTGACGAGGTGAGAAATGCTTTTGTGTTCAGAACGACACACTTGACAACCTATGCAGGCTATGTAGCATCAATGAAGCAAGCTGAATCAAGCTGATCTCAGCCCGGTACATTCATTTCACTCACGCTTCTCACCACCGATACCCGCCTTGCCATGTGTTTTGGCACGTGGCAAAACAACTGATAACAAATTGTCAAGTCCAAATTGCAAATAGTCTTGAAACGTTCTTGCTCCTAGTAGAAATGCCAATCTTGCTAGTAGGTAGTAATGCCAGGAGCTATTAGTAGCATTCTTGCTCCTATTATTCTTCGAGATTGAAAGTGCGCACAGGAACGGTTGCCAATTCGATCATCTTCTGCTGTCGATGCACCAACAACTGGGGGCTCGTTGGGATCTGGGGAGGCGCATCAATTCATGAGTTTGGGTTTGCTGTTTGTTGTTGGCAAAACGCAGTAAACAGCTTATTTAGCAAATAGCATTGCAGGTTTTTGCTGTGGAGCAAGAAACTCCTGGTGCCAATGGCGTTCTTTTCTTGAGGCCGGGGAGTACACAGATAACACAGGTTTGGATGTACGAGATTTAAGCCTTGCAACACTCAAAGTACTGACTAGGTTGGCAGATGGTCGTGGTTGGGTACACCTGCCGCACTTCTTGTAGCTGACAGCCAAATTTATGTGTCTAGCAAATCTTGCCAACCCGTTCCAGGTCTTGAAAGTGATTGAATTTTGCATGTGACAGTCACTGTGATAATGCTCATCCACGCACCAAAATGTTGGACACATTGCTTCATCGCACAGCGGTTGCTGCGCACAGCAGGTGTTTGACCGGAAAAGCGGTTTGGGAAGAAAGAGACGGGCACGGCCATTGTGTGTGCCGTACCAGGCGCACTGAGTGCCACAAGGGAAGCATACATAAACTGACCATTTTGCACCTGGCAAAGCATGACGAGGTTCCTTTGATTGACGAAGAAGACGGCACAAAGACACGGAAGGCAGGAGTTAATATACAATATATATATATGGATGATTTGTCGAAGTGTTGCTGCTTGTGGTTCTTCCTTATGGAGGCACGAGACAAAGTTCGGAAAGCTTGCAATGGACCCCCCAAGGCCTGCACTATGAAAGGTAGCATATGCAGCCTATGTGCAAAGAGCATCCAAGAGCATTTTTTCAAGCGGACCGACTCCTCAGCCAAGTTGGGAGGCGAAGAGGAGGAGACACCAAGCAGTCCATGATCCATACATGGCCGCTCGACTATGATGCATACTGTAACATGCATTCATTTGAACATCAAACGTTCAACCTTGAGGTCGAGACTGCAGACATTATAGAGGCCCCTTGCCGCTGCAACTGGAGCGTTCACAATGCGTGACGTGTGCCGTTGAGGTTGAATCCGATGAGGGTAGACCGCTTGGTTCACCCAATGCGCGTAAGGAAGCCCCCGCGAACGTTTGGCCCACAGTCGTCGGCGGCACAGCTTGGTTTTGAGTGAAAAGCTTGTGCGCCATAAAGGAGCACCACAGTGAGCGAGACGTGGCAAAGGACGGCAGCTGTATTCTATTGTATGCTGAAGAGTGTTGAAGATTTGGTTCATTTTCAGCTTCAAGTTTCAGGAGCAACTTCGAGTGCAGCTGGAGAAGAAGCAGCAAGAAGTTCAGGTGCATGCTGCGCGACTGATGAGCTAAGATAATTTCCTGATGGACTGTTTGGCTTGTCATCTTGGCGAGCTAGATATGCGTTCTAGAGGGATTGTGTCTCATCAAATCTCATCCAGATGCCTTCAGCAAATCCTGTCAAAAGGCTCTTCGAGCGAAACTGTCCCAGCTGGACGCCAAAGAGGTGCACCAGACGGAAAACCAGGTCCAGTCCTGCCAGTCCATCCATGTCCATCCTTAATTCTGAATGAAAGTCATAGTTATAGTTACTAAATGTTACTTACTAAGTTGAATTCTGTGTTTTTCTTGCTCGAATTTCACAGCTGTGATCTAGCTCAGCGAATGAAATAAATAGGTCAATATTGAGCAAATCCGTTGAAAAGAACATAATCGAACTAATATACCCATGAGTGATCCCTGATGTCCGGATGCTTTGGTCAGGAGCTGAGGCGAAAGGTGCCAAGGCAGGCAGCATTTGTCATACCAAGACCAAGCCGTTTTTGTTTTATGTTGTTTGTAGGTCATTGCATGACAAAGCTTGTTGACATGAGGCAAACAAGTCCGGGTTTGCAAGCTGAAGGCATCAGCTAACGCGGACAAGAAACCCAAGCAACTGATTCTTTGAGAAGTCCAATAGTCAATAGTCCTATCACCTGACACGAGTGAACTCGAGATTCGTTGAGGCGAACGAGCGCATTCTGGAAAGGTGCTGTTGTGCTTGAGATTGGTTTTCAGCTTGTGTTCTTTTGATTTGATGTGTTTGGTTCCTTGTGATTGTCCAAGTGGTTTGGACAGAACGACCATGCTGTTCAGATCTCTTCACGTCTCCAAACTTGCAAGGCGAACTCCATTCTGGATCAGAAACGCCGCGAGTTGCAGGAGAGGAATGACATAGATCATAGAGCATGCAGGAAACCACTGTGGTGTTTGTTCAAAAACGCCAGAGGCGATGCTCGCTAAGAAGAGGCAGGGATTCAGTCTCAAAGCCGGAACACGTGATTCATCGTGATTCAGTTTTTCAATCGCAGGGCAAAGAGCATGGCTCATGGCCTGATTCAAAAGCCTGCGCCTAGATTTGTGGATTAGTGATGAATACAATTGAATACCTTGTACAGTCCGATGGAGTCTTCAGCATCTGCCAAAGAAGCGGGTGCAGCTCCGATTTGCAGAGACACCTGAGGCACAGTGCCTGAAGCTCTGTGGATCCATTTCTATTGACAAACTCTGCCAAAGAAAAGGCTTGTCTTGTGGATGCTTCGAGGGGTTCTTACTGGAAGGTCATGCTTTCATGGGACTTGTGGGGCAAGGTATGATATGGTTTAGTGTCGTGTTCTTTAGACCTACGTGAATGTGTGGCCCACCAGTTGCTTCAGACCGGAAAGCGGACTTCCGACGACTCTTGACTCCTGGAGCCTATGTGGTCTCGGCTGCAAGGCCAGAAGCTACTCTAAACAGTGATAAAGTGCAGACATGCACAACAGCAAATTTGGCCAATTCTCTATTTCAGGCTTGCACAGGCCAGTTGTTGCTGCGGCTGTCTCCTTGCCAAGCTTATGGCACGGAGGAGCAACAGTTGCATCCTGTTTTCCGAGTTGCTATGTCATCAAGATTTTTCGATTAGTATAGACAGTCCGGGCATGATCAGATTGCCAAACTAATGTACTGTGCAGGTTTGCACGGAATTCATCAAATGAGACCCGGCTTAAAAGGAGCTTCACCTTCAAGTCCGCGTAGCATCATCCAATGTCAGGACTGCCGGGTGAACCTGACCAGACTTGCAAGCATGTGGCACATACAGATTCTGTTTTTTTGGTTTGCAAGGACAAGGTCCATTGATTCTCACATTGCATATGTATATATATATATTTAAAAAATTGCTTCGCCTGCGTTATGTAATATCTATAATTATATATATGTACATAGTATTTTTTCACCATAGTCTCATACAGAAAGTTCCTCTTGACAAGATGTATATATGCACACCAGACACACCAATATAACTTTCCTTTTGTGACACGATACTTATTCTTTTGATCAGCCTCTTACTATGTGCCAAGGCTCATGCTAGAGCAGAGCAAGGCTCCTTGCATGATGAAGCTGCTCATGCGAGGGATGCATCTCTGTTGTGAGGATCTAAGGCCCTGAGCTTTTAGATTTGTCCAAGAGCAGGATTTGCACCAGAGGAGCTTCTTTCATGCTAGCATGATAGCTGATGACTTAGCACCTCAATCTCAGCTTTGCCACCAAAAGGAACCCTATATATCAGGTTAGGAGACTCAAGGCAGACACAGCTTTGCAACCGGAATATAGCCCTGCATGTGTTCCTTCGGCAAAACTTGCCAAATGTGGGTCGCATGGACGGTAGCATATATATATATAGATTGGGGCCGCGCTGAAGAGTCTAGCGCCACCCATATGTAATATACAGATATACGCGCACGCACGCACACACACACACATTACAAGAACATGTAGCCAAAAAGGGTCCGCTAGCTTTCAGATCACACGCATCAGGTCCCCAACATACAACCTCTATATATATATATATATGCAAAGCAAAGTCTTATGCAAAGCATTTGTTCGCTGAAGAGTCTCAGGAGACGCATTCAGCAACCGAGCGTGAGGTTGCTGAGGCCTTTATGCGGGCAGCAGCAATGTCTGCCACGGCAGGCATCCGTCTCCAACACGGAGGATGGAAGTAACTGGGTAAGCACATGCCATGAAACTGCGTGAACACTGAGCAAGACTCACTGCAAGTCGCAGGACCCTTCGGAGCAGCTGTCGTCCGCAATGGTGTAGTCATATCCTGCGCTCACAATATGGTACTTGAAAGGCACAGATACACAACTCGCAACATTGGATTGGAAAATGACGCAGGGTGAATTGTGTTTGGCCTTTCGCAGGCAAGATCCGTGCTGCCACGCGGAGATGAATGCCATCCAGCAAGCATGCCAGGCTTCCTTCGACCCCCAAAAATCAGGGACTCCGTTGAAAGGTTTGGAAAGACATTGGACACGAAAGGTACGTACCGCAAGGCACCCGGCATTTTTGTTGGCTGCCAGAGACGTTTGTCTCTTGAGGCACTTGGCTCGCATGACCTCTCAGATTGTGAACTCTACACCACTTGCTGCTTGTCTGATTTTTTGTAGAGCTTCGACATCATGAGGATGACAAAATAACTTCCACAAAGGCGAACCGTGTCCAATGTGCTGGGGAGCAGTACAATGGTCAAGGCCATGCAGCACGCAAGCACTCTTTTGTTTCATGGTGTGTATATAATATGAATGCTTTGGCCAGGCTGGGGCGTGCATTTATTGGAGTTGATCGCCATACAGCCGCAAAGTACGGCTTTGATGACAAGGCAATTACGAAGCAACACGCTGAATCATGTTGGATGCTGTCTTGTTTGAGTGTAGGTGTTCTACGACGAAATTGATTCCAAAGCAGGGCACTATGGGATCCGGAGGATAGATCTGGGCGGGTTCAGGTTGCTTGCCCGTAAGCAGCAAATTCCGCACCTTTTGAAAAAACAAGTTTGCTTGACCTCCAGGACTGGATACATTCCGGATACTTCAGCTGGCTACAATCCCCAAGGAGAGCGAGTCTTCAAGAACATGGTTGACGTTTACGATGGCATCCTCAAAGAGGACTGTGGCGATTCTTCATGCACAAGTCAGACAAGCAAAAACATGTATAAATTCCGAAGCAAGTCACTCTCATTATGTTTCGAACAATGTGTGAGGAATGTGAGTCATTTTTCAAAGATCTCTCTGTGAATCGAACTATGCGGCGGCGATTTACTGGAAAGGGTGGTGACCAGGTTCAGATACTCGGCAACAAATGGCAACAACACGAAAGCCAAGTCTTCTTATCGAAGATTCCTTGTGCCTTGCTTGCATCAAATGCATGCAACATGTAGTGCAACACTACTGCTTTTCCTAAGGAGCGCATACAAATTGGTTTTCAGCCGAGAGTCACAGCTTCGACCCCCTCCAGCTGGAGAGAAAGAACCAGAAGAGCACGAGAAGTTTATGCGCCTGGCCGGGACACCGGCGTGGATGATTGCGCATCCCAAGAGCTGAAGGAACTGTTGGAATAAGATGAGATATTTGTTGGTGTCTCAATTGTGGTGCTGCCACATCTATCGAACACAACCCAGTCTTGTTTATTTTGGCATGGTTTTGGTGCAGGCGATGGCCGTTGCTGCACGTGGTGCGAAAGCCGGACTTGCCAAGGAGCACATGCGTTTTGCAATCTGTTGCACGCTTTGCCGGATTGCGACAAGGGTGATTTCTTAGGACTCGTCGGGCACGTGGTTTGTGCAGTATTGTTGTTTTCAAATCTTCACCTTTTCACTGTTTTCTGCGTTTCTGTAGATAAACAAGGTTGTATTTGTACAGCATAAGACCATACGTATAATACAGTGTTCTCGTCATTGTTGCTTCTTAGTTGCCTTACTTTTGTTGTGGTTTATGAGCATTTCCAGGGTAGGTTGCAAGCGGGTCCTTGTGAATCTAGTTGCTGCAAAAAGGACCTTCAGAGTAAACACCACATCAAACCAATTACACAATCAGCTGTTGACATTTCCTAAGTGATGGAGTAAGTCAGGGTAAGGGTAAAGGACCGACGCACAAAGAACACAGATGCGCTCGAGGAGACGTCCATCTCTAATGATTTTTTGGTCGGGGGTCTAGTAGGTTTGACATGCTTTGACGATTAGCTGGAGAGGAAGCACTTTCACTCGCGGTGGCATTGTTGCACTGCCAGTTCACTACCAGGAAAGCCTACCAGGCCTACCGCCGCAGTGAAAGCCTAGCAGGCCTACCGCCTCATTCACCAGCAGTGTGAATCCACCACTGTACCAGCCTGTACAAGCTAGCAACGTGCCAACCCCCTCCACGGGCAACACGCGCCAGTTCACAAGGACTAAGAACCTACCACTTCAGCCTTTGACAATGCAACTTTTCCAGCCAAAACAGAAACCTGCCACTTCACCAGTGGTACAACCTAGATAATGTAAAAAAATACACCACTTCAGGATAAGCACTCGCCGCTTGACCAACCCAAAAAGTGATCTCCCCTCCTTTCTTGCAAGCTATTTTCCCACACCTTTTGGCCAGAAGTGATACTGTCAATACTGTCAATCGTGTGGTGCCGTTGAGTGCTTGGTGAGCGAATTGCATCACACACTGCAATTATATGTGATTTCGGCTCTGCGAAGGTTCACATCTATGAATGTATGTATATATTCTCTCTATCAACAGACAACAGAAATCCGGCACCAGTTGAATGCTTGTTGAGAAAGCGCGGTGGCTGTGTAGACACAGATGTTCATCTCCCTGCTTGCTGCTGACCAACCTATGTTTCACTTCACTCTCAATTCTAATACTTGGTCATACTTGGTCTATAAAATGTGAGCCATGGATTTTATGTAAAATGGATTTCTGTGAGTGTTTTAATGGATGCAGTGGTGTCCTAAAGTTTGAGACGACAAGGTTTGCACTTGACATGACTAAAAGGGCCAGAAGGGTCATTTGATACACCCTACTTGGAGGGTCACGAGAACCTGGAAAACTATGTTTGTGATGCCGTGCATGTTTTTGTAGCATGTCATGTGCACGTGGTGACCTCTTGCGGAGGCATCACTTTGTTGGCTGTGCATTTGTTTACGATTGCAGAGTGCACCGGTGTAGGGGAACGATGCGGCTTGGTCAATTCCAGACTTTCTCACCCCCCCGCGCCCTGCACAGTAGCAATAGCTGTTGCTGCGTGGCGACAGCCCTTCCTACGTGCTGTGCTGCTGCTGCTGCTGCTGATCGAAAAGCTTGGAGCCATCCCTTGGACATTGGACCCTGGCAATCAATGCCCACTGAAGCTATCAAGGCTCTACTGCTTGCAAGCAGTTCCAGGTGGTTGTTTGTAGGGACTGGAATCGCGAAACTGCTTGGCAGGGCTGCGTGATGTGTGTACTCCGACGGGTGTTTCCGCTTGACTTTTGGAGGAAGTCTCGTACGAAACGCTCGTTTTGACATGTGAGTTTTTTGAGGAAGTCTCGTATGAAACGCTCGTTTTGGAGACTTGACGTGTGACTTTTGGAGGAAGTCTCGTACGAAACGCTAGTATGTGGGCAGATCGTGTGGCGACGCGACGTTCGCGATGTCGCAGTGCCATGCGGACTTGCGCGGCCTTGGTGGGAAGCGCGTTTGCGTGGCGCCGTGCCACTGGGGAG